GGCATTAGAAGCATAGAACCCTTGTTCTGGGCTGCTAATGATGCTGCCCTAAGTACAGTTACAATTCCAGCAGCAAAGCACATTATCTCTGTATCTGGAGAGCACATAAGACTCCATGCATTTTTTTTCTCAGTAAGAGGAATCTGCAAATGTGGATGGACTTTAATACCTGTCGTAAATATATGTTTCACATCAACCTTTAATATTGTTCAGTTGTTATGATCAGGTTTATATATAAAATAACCTTTTGTGGTTTGCATTTAATAGCTCCATAAATTCTTAGTTTTAATTTTTTTTCCCTCTCTGTAACATGCAAATGTTTAATGCAATACAAATTCTGCCTCAATATAATTATTGTTTGTGGTTTATTTTTAATCTGCACATTTTTGCTCTCTCTGGTTAGGTTATTAATGGTTTGATGGAGCGCTCTGATTGGGAAGATGCAATAAAAATGCCAATTGGAATTCTTCCTTGTGGCTCAGGAAATGCCTTGGCTGGAGCGATCAACTACAATGCAGGGTAAAACATTCAAAATAAGCATGTATTTGGCTGCAAGATGCTTGACTGCTTTTAAAAAAAATATTAATAATAAAAGTCTAGAAAACAAATGGGGGCTATACCATCACAAATAGGACCACTTTATTTGCATCCTACTGACCCCAGTTTTGTTTGCTTCTGTCCTATCCACAATTTACTGTAATGAGGGAATAGTTGTTTTAGAGTCTAAATCTAGTTTTGTTCTGGAGATCATGTACTATGGCTTTGCAGTGATCTACTCTTCTTTGGACACTCCTCATGAACAGAACATATTTATATTTGAGAGTACTGCAATTGTATTTATTATTCATTTTCTTTATTTTGTATTTTTACTTTCAGGTTTGAACAGGCAATGGGGTCTGAGCTGCTACTTAACTGTATTTTACTGCTTTGCCGTGGTACAGTTATGCCTATGGACCTTGTGTCAGTAACAACCTGCTCTGGAATCCGTTCTTTCTCTTTCCTAAGTGTTGCTTGGGGTTTCATTTCTGATGTGGACATAGAAAGTGAGAAGTACAGACACATGGGCTCTGCTCGTTTTACAGTAGGGACTATGGTAAGGGTGGCTTCACTGCGAACCTATAAAGGCCGTCTCTCTTATTTGCCTGTGCTAGATGCACACCGTCCGATTTGTAGAAGTATCACCTTGGCTCCTAATGGAAGTCTTGTTCCGTTCCAGCGCTCTCAGTTGCACCGTACTGTTTCAGATATGGGCCTCTGTGAAGAACGCAATGTTATGTATAAGCGCAGCTCTGCTTCTCTTGATACCAACGAGTTACCCAGTTTTGAAACACCTTCTCCAGGCTCTCCAACAGCCTTGAATTCCTCTAGCTTTCCCTTTGACTCTGTGTCTGACTCTTCACAACAAGATAGCACACTGCACAGGGAGATGGAACCTACAATCCACCATCAAGTAAATGGACCCAAGGATGACCTTGTTCCTGCATTGGAGCAACCAATACCGAAGACCTGGGTAACAGTGGAAGAGGATTTTGTATTGGTGCTGGCAATTTATCAGAGTCATTTGGGAGCAGACTTATTTACAGCACCGTTTTCCTGCTTTAATGATGGTTTAATACACCTTTTCTTTGTGAAAGCGGGTATATCTCGGGCAGCCCTTGTGCGCCTTTTCCTAGCCATGGAAAAAGGTAACCACATAGAGATGGAGTGTCCATACCTTGTTCATGTCCCTGTTCGAGCTTTCCGTTTAGAGCCTCTAACACGAAAGGGGATAATTACTGTAGATGGAGAACGGGTAGAATATGGCCCTGTTCAAGCTCAGGTTCACAATGGACTAAGCAATCTCATTACTGGCTCCAATAGGGTTCGCATGGCATCAGTCTAGGAATTAATCTTTAACTCTGCTATGTTGTGCAATACTGTAGTAATTTTGTTATTCCTGATGCTTGAATGCATCTTTTTTTTTTTTTTTTTCTCCAGTACAACACTGGGCCAGAAAACATTAATATTATAAGCATGTACCTAAACCTAATGCTATTTGCCTACTGGATAGATTTTTTCCTCTCGTGTTAGTCCTTAATTATATGCAAGATTTTGAAAAAAAAAAGTTTGTATTTCTAGAAACTTTGCTAACTCTTGGACCACAATTGTTCATAATAATTTACTTCACTTAACTCTAGTGAAGAAAATTACACTTACTGCTAACATGAGCCAGTTTTTTAAGTGTATGTAAAGTCTAAACTTTAAAGACAGGAAGTTGTTTTTCCGTTAGAAGTTTCTTTGCAGGTTTTACATAGTTGGTTGTCTGTCCTGTGCCTCCATCCATGTTGAATAGTGAATTATCGCCACATTTTTTGGCAACTTTATGTACTTTTATTTCTGCAAAACTATATTTTCATCGAGATGTGCTGGCAGGCAATTGCATCTCCTATGGAGGTGAAATGAACATGTGAATGTAACCCGTTTCTTGTCAACACCCTCTTTTGTTTAAATAACCTCAACAAGTGCTTATTACAAAATAATTGTTTGTTCTCACTACCAGGATATTCAGCTACCACTGCATTAAAAAACTCTTGAATACTCCTCTGGTAAGGAACATGTTTTAGTTACTGTATGTTTCATACCCAAAGACAGACTTCAATAAAAGGCTGCGCACAAAGGATAAATAAAGTCCAATTAGAGTAAAATAAAATAAGTCCAAATGGTTTTTTCTTACTGATGTCCTTGTTTGGTGAGGTCTTCTATTTTTGTTGTGGTTTCACTTAATAAAAGATAAAAAAGAGAAGAAAAGGGGACATCCAATGGTGTAGTATGTAGAATTCAAGTCTTAGAGATAAAAAATTATAATGGTATAAAACTCACATTTACCAGAGCTATTGTCCAGCTCTAGGAGTTAAGCGCGTACAGCGGTTTAATCCCCGCTTATGGGATATAGGGCAGGTTCCTCTCCGTGAATGGTATCCAATTCTCGGGATAAAACAAACAGCCAATAGTGCTCACTGTATGGTGAATAATAATAAAATAATAAAAGAAATGTACTTACAAAGTAGGAGCAGACGCACTGCTCTTTGATGACAGCTTGGGTGGATTGATCCCCACCTGCGGATTTCTTTGGGTACAGGAAACTTCCAGGAATTTTTAAGGTTTTTTATAAAACCAGTTAAAAAGAAGGTGTTTAAAATAACAATAAAAAGGCCAGGGTAAATGAGAAGAGTATGTGTCTTATAAAAAAGATAATGGCACAAAAATGACCAATTATACTTATATATATAAAACACAATATTCAAATATCCATAACGTTTTCGTCACAAAAGGACTTTTTCAAATGGAATAACATAGTTTACCTGGCACATAGATGTTATATAGGAGCATAATTAGTTGAAATTTGGCGCCAAAACTTAGTTCAGCCAATCAAAAATAAAGACATGTATACAACTTTAAATTTCGAAAATAACATAATAAGCTTAAACTTTATAACAATGCAGCTTGATTATAGCACATTAAAATCAAAAACGAGGGTGGGAAAGGGTAATTTTAAAGGATTTTAAAAGAGTCACGTGACCGGCGGCACTTCCGCATTTCGGAGGTGCCGCCGCAATGATTTATGGGAAATGTAGTTGGTGTATATGCCGCGAATGGTGGCCGATCAAAACTTAGTTCTTTTTCCTTATGTTGCCACTATATTGCAGCACATTTCCAATGTGGGTTTTTTTAAATCAAAACGAAGGGGCTGGCTCTCTAATTTTGATGTTAAAAGAATGGTCACATGGTTTTCGGCTAGCATAGCCGAAATGCTTATTGGGAAATGTAGTTGAATGGGTGATAAAATAAAATATCTTTTATATCTTGTATATTTACCATGTTTTATTTTATTTTATTTTATTTTATCACCCATTCAACTACATTTCCCAATAAGCATTTCGGCTATGCTAGCCGAAAACCATGTGACCATTCTTTTAACATCAAAATTAGAGAGCCAGCCCCTTCGTTTTGTTTTAAAAAAACCTACATTGAAAATGTGCTGCAATATAGTGGCAACATAAGAAAAAAAGAAAAAAAGAACTAAGTTTTGATCGGCCGCCATTCGCGGCATATACACCAACTACATTTCCCATAAATCATTGCGGCGGCACCTCCGAAATGCGGAAGTGCCGCCGGTCACGTGACTCTTTTAAATCCTTTAAAATTACCCTTTCCCACCCTCGTTTTTGATTTTAATGTGCTATAATCAAGCTGCATTGTTTTAAAGTTTAAGCTTATTATGTTATTTTCGAAATTTAAAGTTGTATACATGTTCTTATTTTTGATTGGCTGAACCAAGTTTTGGCGCCAAATTTCAACTAATTATGCTCCTATATAACATCTATGTGCCAGGTAAACTATGTTATTCCATTTGAAAAAGTCCTTTTGTGACGAAACGCGTTATGGATATTTGAATATTGTGTTTTTATATATATTAAAGTATTATTGGTCATTTGTTTGTGCCAATTATCTTTTTTTATAAGACACATACTCTTCTCATTTACCCTGGCCTTTTTATTGTTATTTTAAACACCTTCTTTTTAACTGGTTTTATAAAAAACCTTAAAAATTCCTGGAAGTTTCCTGTACCCAAAGAAATCCGCAGGTGGGGATCAATCCACCCAAGCTGTCATCAAAGAGCAGTGCGTCTGCTCCTACTTTGTAAGTACATTTCTTTTATTATTTTATTATTATTCACCATACAGTGAGCACTATTGGCTGTTTGTTTTATCCCGAGAATTGGATACCATTCACGGAGAGGAACCTGCCCTATATCCCATAAGCGGGGATTAAACCGCTGTACGCGCTTAACTCCTAGAGCTGGACAATAGCCCTGGTAAATGTGAGTTTTATACCATTATAATTTTTTATCTCTAAGACTTGAATTCTACATACTACACCATTGGATGTCCCCTTTTCTTCTCTTTTTTTATCTTTTATTAAGTGAAACCACCACAAAAATAGAAGACCTCACCAAACAAGGACATCAGTAAGAAAAAACCATTTGGACTTATTTTATTTTATTTTACTCTAATTGGACTTTATTTATCCTTTGTGCGCAGCCTTTTATTGTTTTTATTGTATTTTGTTTTAAAGGGTTTGAGGGATTCCCTTTTAAGGTCGCTGCCTATAGTTACTTAGCGCTATCTCACTCCTCTTTTTTACCAAAGACAGACTTGTATTTTTATATTAAGTAGAATATATTAACCCACTTAATTCTAACTATACTGTGGGTAAATGACCCAATGTTTCAAAACAAATACAATTAAAACAAATACTGCAGTTAGTAGTAATGCAAAAATATTTCTTTCATGCTGAAAATGTTATTTCTTTCTTTCCAAATCTGTTTTTGATGGCAATAATGCAATTAACACATTAAGTAGAAGCAATCTCAGGATGCATTAAATTATTATTTTATCTATTAAATGGTGATCTATGTATTGCATAAAGGCATTCCCTTGTTTGTTTGCAAATCTGTCAGATTACAGCTAAAAACTAGTTTTGTTGTGCACTTGCTATTTTTTTGTACTTAATTCAACCCTTAACTGGTAATAATTTGAACATAGATCTTCCCCTCCCCCAATAAAGGGAATGCATCTTAGACCTCTAACAATAACTGACTTCTTTAACTATGCAAAACAAATATAGTTCTTTCAAACTTGCTGTTTGACAAGTCATTATCTTACTCATTTAGAGAAAACATCGTACTACATTTTACCATTTTTAAATAGGCTAAAACATACCTGAGGGTATGCATATGGTTAACACGGAGGGGGGACCCTGCATTCGCACAACTGATGAATAACAAAAAAGTGTTACCTGCTCACTATCCCAAGTCCCTATGCACATTTGAATAACTGGATTTTTTTAAATATTTTTTTTAATATTACACCAATGGCCATTAAAGTGTGAAGTCACTCCCAACATTTTAAATGGTCAAAGAGGGATACTTGGGGTGTGAGTGGAGGTGGGACTGTTATGAGACATTTTAGGTGACTTACTAATAACAATCTATGAAACTAAAAAGTAGTTTAGAACGTGAACAATGTATACAGTTCCACACAATAGATTAGTGTTCAAACTCAAGGAAATTGGTCTAGATGAAAATGCTTGTTCTTGGGTAGAACATTGGCTTAAAAACAGAGTACAAAGAGTTGTCATTAACGGTAAATTTTCAAGCTGGACAGAGGTGGCAAGTGGTGTCCCTCAGGGGTCTGTTCTGGGACCCCTTCTATTTAACATGTTTATAAATGATCTTGAAGACCGCATTGAAAGTCATGTTTCAATGTTTGCAGATGACACCAAACTTTGTAAAACAATACAATGTGAGCAAGATATTACTTTGCTGCAGAGGGACTTAGATAGACTGGGGGACTGGGCATTCAAATGGCAGATGAAATTTAATGTTGAAAAATGCAAAGTTATTCACTTCGGCGTAAAGAATACACAAGCAACGTATACCCTTAATGGAAGCGAATTAGGGATAACACATGAAAAGGACTTGGGAATTGTTATAGACAACAAACTATTCAACAATGTGCAATGTCAATCAGCAGTGGCCAAGGCCAGTAAGGTATTGTCATGCATGAAAAAGGGCATTCATTCTCGGGACAAGAATATAATTTTGCCTCTTTATAAATCACTGGTAAGACCCCATATTGAATATGTTGTGCAATTTTGGGCACCTGTTCTAAAGAAGGATATTATGGCACTAGAAAAAGTGCAGAGGCGGGCTACAAAATTAATAAAAGGAATGGAATATATCGGCTATGAAGAAAGGTTAACAAATTTAAACCTATTTAGTTTAGAAAAACGTCGCCTGAGAGGGGATATGATAACATTATACAAATATATTCGTGGCCAATACAAACCATTATGTGGAAATCTATTCACAAACTGGACTTTACATAGGACACGAGGCCATGAGTTTAGACTGGAAGAAAGAAGATTTCGTCTAAGGCAAAGGAAAGGTTTTTTTATTGTAAGAACAATCAGGATGTGGAATTCTCTGCCTGAGGAAGTGGTTTTATCAGAGTCCATACAGATGTTCAAACGGCTACTAGATGCATACTTGCAAGAACAGAATATTCAAGGATATAATCTTCAATGTAGGGTAATAACTGCTTGATCCAAGGATAAATCTGACTGCCATTCTGGGGTCAAGAAGGAATTTTTTTCCTAGTTTGTTGCAAAATTGTGCTTCAAACTGTTTTTTTTTTTGCCTTCTTTTGGATCAACAGCAAAAAACAAATGTGAGGTAGGCTGAACTTGATGGACGCAAGTCTCTTTTCAGCTATGTAACTGATTTATAAACACATTTAATGTGGTATAAAGACCTATTACTCTGAGTATTATTGCTGTGGACCTCTGGTATAAACTCAGACATGACAACAATAGAAGATTATGGTTAAAATAAATAATATATTAATGGAAATGCTTATGTATAATGGAATTGGCTTGGCACTTATTGAGAGAACATATCAATGCATGTTCATCCGCACCTTGCATGGTCAGTCAATTTAAGGATTTGTAAAAGGATAGCCTTTTTGTGTGCCAGCCGAGTCCAAAATTATCCAATCGTGTATTACAAATATGCTTGTTGTTAGACTAGGATTTTAAAGGAAATGTCATGTAGTAACCTAAAAAACATTGGTATTTATATCTCTATCACAATTTTTTTAACTTCCACCAAATTATATGCATGGAATTAGCTTAATATCCAATTCTTTTCCTGCTAAATTTTATTTCCTATTCCAATCAGATCACGGTATCTGTTCTAATCCTCATGGCTTGATCTAGGGTTGAAGTGAACCTGTTCTTTAAGTGATCAAAATTATGTACTAAATTAAATACAATTCTATTTGTGCAATTACTCTCTTTCCAGAGCTGTTGCTATCACCATTATACAGACTTTGAGTGTTACTCTAATACAGTGGTTCTTAAAGGGACACTATAGGCACCCAGACCACTTCAGCTCATTAAAGTTGTCGGGTGCAATGTTCCTGTCCTACTTAGTCCTGCAATGTATATCCTTGCAGTTTTTTGAAACTGCAATAGTTACATTGCTTGCCTAAGACTGCCATTAGGGGCACTTCCTGCTTGTTTAGCAACTTTTGGTCGCCTTTCTGACGCTGGACATCCTCATGCTCTGTATGAGGACATCCAGCGTCTGTTAAATCCCCATAGGAAAGTATTGATGCAATGCTTTCCTTTGGGGAGGGTCTAATGCGCTTGCCGCACATGGGCATTAGTTTCCCCCCTTCTCCCTCTGTAGGGTGACCAAGGGAGATCAGTGAAGGAATTGGGTGAGTACAGAAAGGTGTTTTGTCTTTTTTTTTTTTTTTTATATCCCATTCCATCATGGAGAGGGAGAGGGAGAGAACTTTAGTGTAACTTTATATTCCTTACACTGTAGCAGCATTTCCCATTGGTGTTCCACAAATGGGGTTCCGCCAAAATTTCTAAAAACAAAATGGCTGCAGCCGGCGAGGGAGCGGTGGGCAGTAATCTCCCTGCTCAGCTCCCTTGCGCACATAGCAGTGATGCAAGAGCCGGAATATGACACTACTCTGGCATCACTAAGAGGCAAGGGAGCTGAGCAGGGAAATCACTGCTCCCTCTCTGCCAGCCACTCAGCAGCCCCACTGGACCCCAGGGACCGCACACCAGCCGCTCAGCGTCCCCCCAGGGACTGCACGCGCAGCCACACTGGGACATAGAGACTCCATGCCAGCACTGCCAAAGGAATGAGAATTACCCCCATGAGGGCATACCATTTGCAAAAGAATACAACCCAATGTATTGCAAATGGGCTATGTCCAGTCTTTTTTCGTAGCCACTTAGTCACAAACACTGGCCAAAATTAGCGTTCAATTTAGTTTTTTACTTTTTTCTCACACAAACAAATATGAATGCTAACTTTGGCCAGTGTTTGTGACCAAGTGGCTACTAAAAAAGACTGGACATACCCCATATTGAATACCCTGGGTTGTCTACTTTAAAAAAATATGTACATGTGGGTTGTGATTCAGAGATTTATGACAGATAATAGTGTTACAATATCACTATTGATAAATTTTAAAAATGTATGTTTTGAAACCGCAATATCCTACTTGTACTTATAGTCCTATAACTTGCAACAAAAAAAGCAGGTAAACACTGGGCATTTTTAAACTCAGGACAACATTTTGAATCTATTTAGCAGTTTTTTTTCATTAGCTTTTGTAGATGAGTAAAGTCAAAAAACTTTTTTTTTAAATTTTTAATTTTTAACATTTTTTTTTTTTAAATTAAATTACATGAGCTTTCTCCTCTATCACAAACATGACCTCGTCCCGTTGCAACGGGCAATCGACCGATTCATTTGGCAAAACAAGAGACACAGAGTGTCCCGCAATATACTCTACCGCCCCAAGACGAGAGGCGGCCTGGGATTACCCCACTTACACTTTTAGTACCTACCGGCCCAAATGACGCAAATATCCTTATGGCATACCCCGCCATAAACTAGAAGATGGGTTGACCTAGAATCATTGCTCATGAAATCAGACCTCCCACAATTCTACACCTGGACCCCGAGAGAACACAGAGCACTCCCAAGAACAGCATGCCCATCCATCACCAACTCCATCCAACGATGGGCCAGGTTTGTCCTTAACTACGAATTAAAGTCCCCGACCTCACCACTATATACTGTAACATGGAACTTAAGGGGCATCGAGCGAGCTGGCCTCCAGAGAGTCCACCAACTATACACAGGTGACTCCGTGGTCTCATTCCCGGAACTGCAATCTAGAACAACCCTAACCCCATCTGACTCCGAAACTATGCCACCCGAACGAAGGTGAAAACTGCAGCCAAAACCAAACCGACCTTCTTCGAACAACTCTGCCACGCCGAAAAATACCAACGGGGCATGATCACCCAACTCTACTCCCACCTCTGTTCCACCACACGGGAATGAGGCGACCTACACTACACCGACAAATGGGAAACTGACTTAGGTGAAACACTTGAGGGTATTGACTGTCAAGACAAATGGGAGGCCAACTCAAAAACCTCCATATGCGTTACAATGCAGGAACAGTCATAAAACAATGTTCCGGTGGTACACCACACCGGTCCAATTATACCATATGAAAAAGACGCCCACGACCTCTGCTGGCGTAGCTGCAGAGAAAAAGGGACCTACACCCACATGTGGTGGCACTGCCCTAAGGTTAGACTATTTTGGGAAGACATCCAAACACTGACATCCCAGATACTATCCAGACCGGTAGAACTGAACCCATGGACGTTCCTGCTGGCACAACCCTTCGACAACTGGACCAGACCAGAACAACAGCTGCATAACAAAATCGCCCTAGCAGCCAGAAGGCCTTGGCCCAAACCTGGCTGCGACCCACCACACCACCCATGGCCAGAGTGCTCCACAAAATTAAAGAATGTCACCTCATGGACAAACTGACAGTCCCAATACGAGGCTCCACAAAAACATTTTCTAAGACATGGGAAGCAGGGAGGGGGAACAAAATAAATAAATAATTCACATATTTCACTAGTGCGAATTTAGTTTTAAAGTGCAAGTGTCATGCAAATATGATGCAAGAAATGTTCATACCTCATTATTTGCTTTTTTTTTTTTGCATATTGCATATTTCATGGTGACAAAGATTTTGTTGTTTGTGTTTTAGATCATAACTCCATCACTGTAATGATGTAACAAGCAATTAGAATTTGTGTTTCCTATGTTACTATTTTTTATTAAGCATTTTTTATTGTACTGTTTGACTTTTTGTTGGTGTTTATTTTAATTTTTAAAAATGCCCTTTCTTGGGATCTAATTTTATTTAGAAAATTACCAGTAGCTTCTGCATTTCCCACCCTAGGCTTATACTCGAGTCAATACGTTTTCCCAGTTTTTTATGGTAAAATTAGGTGCATCTGCTTATATTCGGGTTGGCTTATACTCTAGTATATGCCGTATGTTATCTAAATTGAAGCCTGGAATAATATGTAGTATTAAAAAGATTGCTGCTAATCCTGGTGCTAGATTATTTGATTAACATGCTCCTTTTCCCATTGCAAATATCCTTTTATCCAATATATAATATTGTTTTCAAATGTCTGAGTCACTCGTTCTTTTAAAACCTAGGGAAGCCCCATTCCAACGGGTAAATCTTGGAAACACCTGTTTCCTTTGTGAAGAGGGGAAATGCATGTTGTTTTTGATAGTTTATGCAAATAATTGAACAGAAAGTAAATTTCGGGGGGGGGGAGGGGAGGGTGAGTGGGGGTGCCACTTAGAACATTAACTGTGACACCTATTGTTTTATGCTGAAAGAATAATCTACTTGCTAAATTAATATTTTAGAGAAGCTGTGGTACTGAAATGTTGCTTTCCACCACTGAATTAAAAAATATTTTTAAGCTAGTAACAAAATAAATATTTGATAAAACTTCTCAACTTTGTGTTTATATATACACTGCTCAAAAAAATAAAGGGAACACTTAAACAACACAATGTAACTCCAAGTCAATCACACTTCTGTGAAATCAAACTGTCCACTTAGGAAGCAACACTGAGTGACAATCAATTTCACATGCTGTTGTGCAAAAGGGATAGACAACAGGTGGAAATTATAGGCAATTAGCAAGACACCCCCCAATAAAGGAGTGGTTCTGCAGGTGGTGACTACAGACCACTTCTCAGTTCCTATGCTTCCTGGCTGATGTTTTGGTCACTTTTGAATGCTGGCGGTGTTTTCACTCTAGTGGTAGCATGAGACGGAGTCTACAACCCACACAAGTGGCTCAGGTAGTGCAGCTCATCCAGGATGGCACATCAATGCGAGATGTGGCAAGAAGGTTTGCTGTGTCTGTCAACATAGTGTCCAGAGCATGGAGACGCTACCAGGAGACAGGCCAGTACATCAGGAGACGTGGAGGAGGCCATAGGAGGGCAACAACCCAGCAGCAGGACCGCTACCTCCGCCTTTGTGCAAGGAGGAACAGGAGGAGCACTGCCAGAGCTCTGCAAAATGACCTCCAGCAGGCCACAAATGTGCATGTGTCTGCTCAAACGGTCAGAAACCGACTCCATGAGGGTAGTATCAGGCCCCGACGTACACAGGTGGGGGTTGTGCTTACAGCCCTACACTGTGCAGGACGTTTGGCATTTGCCAGAGAACACCAAGATTGGCAAACTCGCCACTGGCACCCTGTGCTCTTCACAGATGAAAGCAGGTTCAAACTGAGCACATGTGACAGTCTGGAGACTAATAAAGGGAATCAACACAGTAAAGGAGGAGACTATATTTAAAAGAAGAAAAACTACCACAACAAGAGGACATAGTCTTAAATTAGAGGGACAAAGGTTTAAAAATAATATCAGGAAGTATTACTTTACTGAGAGGGTAGTGGATGCATGGAATAGCCTTCCAGCTGAAGTGGTAGTAAAGGAGTTTAAGCATGCGTGGGATAGGCATAAGGCTATCCTAACTATGAGATAAGACTAGGGACTAATGAAAGTATTTAGAAAATTGGGCAGACTAGATGGGCCGAATGGTTCTTATCTGCCGTCACATTCTATGTTTCTATGCCGTGGAGAACGTCCTGCTGCCTGAAACATCCTCCAGTGAGACCATATGCTGGTGCGGTTGGCCCTGGGTTCCTCCTAATGCCAGATTGATTAGACCTCATGTGGCTGGAGTGTGTCAGCAGTTCCTGCAAGACGAAGGCATTGATGCTATGGACTGGCCCGCCTGTTCCCCAGACCTGAATCCAATTGAGCACATTTGGGTCATCATGTCTCGCTCCATCCACCAACGTCATGTTGCACCACAGACTGTCCAGGAGTTGGCAGATGCTTTAGTCCAGGAGACCTCAGGAGACCATCCGCCACCTCATCACAGGCATTTTAGGGAGATCATACAGGCATGTGGAGGCCACACACACACTACTGAGCCTCATTTTGACTTGTTTTAAGGACATTACATCAAAGCTGGATCAGCCTGTAGTGTGTTTTTCCACTTTAATTTTGAGTGTGACTCCAAATCCAGATCTCCATGGGTTAAAAAATTTGTATTCCCTTTTTTTATTTTTGTGTGATTTTGTTGTCAGCACATTCAACTATGTAAAGAATAAAGAATTTCAGAAGAATAGTAATTCATTCAGATCTAGGATGTGTTATTTTTGTGTTCCCTTTATTTTTTTGAGCAGTGTGTGTGTGTTTGTGTGTGTGTGTGTGTGTATATATATATATATATATTACAGTTGCAAGAAAAAGTATGTGAACCTTTTGGAATGATATGGATTTCTGCACAAATTGGTCATAAAATGTGATCTGATCATCATCTAAGTCACAACAATAGACAATCACAGTCTGATTAAACTAATAACACACAAAGAATGAAATGTTGCCATGTTTTTATTGAACACACCATGTAAACATTCACAGTGCAGGTGGAAAAAGTATGTGAACCCTTGGATTTAATAACTGGTGGAACCTCCTTTGGCGGTAATAACTTCAACCAAGCGATTCCTGTTGTTGCAGATCAGACATGCACAACGGTCAGGAGTAATTCTTGACCATTCCTCTTTACAGAACTGTTTCAGTTCAGCAATATTCTTGGGATGTCTGGTGTGAATCACTTTCTTGAGGTCATTCCAGAGCATCTCAATCAGGTTGAGGTCAGGACTCTGACTGGGCCACTTCAGAAGGCGTATTTTCTTCTATTTAAGCCATTCTGTTGTTGATTTACTTCTATGCTTTAGGTCATTGTCCTGTTGCAACACCCATCTTCTGTTGAGCTTCAGCTGGTAGACAGATGGCCTTAAGTTCTCCTGCAAAATGTCTTGATAAACTTGGGAATTCATTTTTCCTTCGATGATAGCAATCCGTCCAGGCCCTGACGCAGCAAAGCAGCCCCAAACCATGATGTCCCCACCACCATGCTTCACAGTTGGGATGAGGTTTTGTTGTTGGTGTGCTGTGCCTTTTTTTCACCACACATAGTGTTGTGTGTTTCTTCCAAACAACTCGACTTTGGTTTCATCTGTCCACATAATATTTTGCCAGTACTGCTGTGGAACATCCAGGTGCTCTTGTGCAAACTGTAAACATGCAGCAATTTTTATGTGGACAGCAGTGGCTTCCTCTGTGGTATCCTCCCATGAAATCCATTATTGTTTAGTGTTTTACATATTGTAGATTCGCTAACAGGGATGTTAGCATTTGCCAGTGACTTTTGTAAGTCTTTAGCTGACACTCTAGGATTCTTCTTCACCTTATTGAGTAGTCTGCGCTGTGCTCTTGCAGTCATCTTTACAGGACTGCCACTCCTAGGGAGAGTAGCAGCAGTGCTGAACTTTCTATATTTATAGACAATTTGTCTTACTGTGGACTTATGAACAGCAAGGCTTTTGGAGATACTTTTATATCCCTTTCCAGCTTTATGCAAGTCAACAATTCTTAATCATAGGTCTTCTGAGAGCTCTTTTGTGCGATACATCATTCACATCAGGCAATGCTTCTTGTGAAAAGCAAACCCAGAACTGGTGTTTGTTTTTTTTTGTTTTTTTAAGGCAGGGCAGCTGTAACCAACACCTCCAATCTCATCTCATTGGACTCCAGTTGGCTGACCTCTCACTCCAATTAGCTCTTGGAGATGTCATTAGTCTAGGGGTTCACATACTTTTTCTACCTGCACTGTGAATGTTTACATGGTGTGTTCAATAAAAACATGGCAACATTTCATTCTTTGTGTGTTATTAGTTTAAGCAGACTGTGATTGTCTATTGTAGTGACTTAGATGATGACCAGATCACATTTTATGACCAATTTGTGCAGAAATCCATATCATTCCAAAGGGTTCACATACTTTTTCTTGCAACTGTGTATATATATATATATTGTATGTATGAATGTAAAGCAAAAATCAAAAAAGGTATGGTAGGGAAAAATTGTGATTTAAACATCTTCCACCTGAAGTCTGTGGATATGTTCAACAAAAATCTGATGATTTGCATTAACCCCTTAAGGACTGAGCCAAATGTACATGTTGTGTGTAAACAAAAACTTGAATTTGCGCTATATGTCTGTTCAGGCGTAGATCACCTCTTTCATATTATGTGCACCCATACTTATTATAAATAATTTTATTCAAGGGAAACAGGGCTTTCATTTAACATCAAATATTTAGGTATGAAACATAATTTAATATGAATAAAATATAAAAATAAAAATGGGAGAAAAGAATTTGAAACTTTTTTTAGTTCTACGTAACATTTTAACAGTGAATGTAATAATAATGTTTGCTTTTACTGCAATAAAATACACATTTGTATTCAGCGATAGCTCACGTGTAAAACAGCAACCACCTATGTACAGATTTTATGGTGTTTTGGGAAGTTACAGGGTCAAATATAGCGTGTTACAGTTTTTTTCACATTGAAATTCGCCAGATTGGTTACGTTGCCTTTGAGACCGTATGGTAGCCCAAGAATGAGAATTACCCCCATGATGGCATACCATTTGCAATAGTAGACAACCTAAGGTATTGTATGTCCAGTCTTTTTTAGTAGCCACTTGGTCACAAACACTGGCCAAAGTTCGTGTTAATATTTGTTTGTGTGTGAAAAATGCAAAAAAATAATTTGAACGCCAATTTTGGTCAGTGTTTGTGGCTACTAAAGACTGTTTTGCAATAGCTTGGGTTGTCTTCTTGTGCAAATGCTATGCCATCATGGGGTAATTTTCATTCCTGGGCTACCATACGGTCTCCAAGGCAACGTTACCAATCTGGCGAATTTCAATGTGTAAAAACTGAAACGCAAGCCTTATTTTTGACTCTAACTTTTGAAAACACCATAAAACCTGTACATGTTATACTAGGGAGACTTCGCTGAACACAAATATTAGTGTTTCAAAACCAGTAAAACGTATCACAACAATTATATCGTCTGTATAAGTGCAATTTGTGTGTGAAAAATATAACTTTCACTGACAATATCATTGTTGTAATACATTTTACTGTTTTGAAACACTAATTTGTGTTCAGCGAAGTCTTCCGAGTAAAATAATACCCCACATGTACAGGTTTTATGGTGTCTTGGAAAGTTACAGGGTTAAATATAGTGCTTGAAAATTAAATTCCCTCAACTTTCGCCTTGGGTTGTCATGTAGGTCCCGCAAATTGTAATTAATAAAATGACCTAATTATGTAAAATGATTACATAAATATATATGTAGAATATATATATATGTGTGTGTATTAAGGCCGTTTGGCCTGTAATTGTGGGAGGAGCTTATTGTTATACACTTACCTATTTAAGGAACACCCCTATATATTTACTTACATATATATATTAACTTTAAAATACAGATAGAATAAAATTACACACATATATTTTCTTAACATATTTACATATTTTATATTATATATAAATCAATATCATTCTACGTGTATTTTGATATTAAAATATATATATTAATATTAAAATACACTTAGACCGTGTATGTTTGTTTATGTATGATCATATATATATGTGTGTGATCTAAGTATATATAATTTAATTTTAAACTGTTTTCATTTTTTTTCAGGCAGCAGGGGGAGTACTTGTATTACAAGCACTCCCCTTGCTGGCACTGCTGTGGACGACTATGCCGTCCATGTGATTGCGAGGTCCTTGCAAGGACCTCGCGATCACATGGCCCAGGAGGGCCGGAAAGGCAGCAGGGGGACTCACTGGGATGCCCGGTGAGTCTCCCCACCATGATCGCCGGCCACCGTGTAAGTGAATCGGATGGCGGGGGTGTGCTATGCTGCTCCCCGGTGTTTAGAGCCGGGTCCCCAAGGACGGCATAGCACGCCCGCCATCCTTAAGGGGATTAACAATGAAACAGCTGTCCATGTGTGGTTCACTGGCTTTGCATCTTTTCCTAAGTTGTATTTCAAAGCTGGTGTATACAGCAAATACAGACTCAAAGGAATCCATGTCTAAAATTGAATGAGGAAAAAAATTGATTCTTTGTTGAACTAATTTGCATATGCCCACCCAGAATCCTTTGTGGTTGTAACATCACTGCAAATTTGTGATTCCTGTGGGAAAAGCAAGTCTTATGGCTTGACTGGTGTGCAGATTTTTGTTTAACATTGTATTAACTATATGTATGTATATGTGTATAAACAAAAAAATAGTCTTAAACTCCAACTACGTGGTGTTAATGCCGGTGCTAATCAGCAATCACAGATCCAAATTATTCAGATAATGCTCCAAGGACTTCTAAGGAGGATAAAATAAAACTTAGCATTTATTGCTATAAAAAGATCAACGTCTCCGTTTGTAAACCAAACTTTCATCAAGATGTGCTGATACAGTTAAAGATAATCATTATATACCCACCACCAACATATTCACTTACCCAATTAGTGAGGGGATTCCGAGACCGCCAGAGCCTTCCTTGGCTGCAACCGGCGTCCTGATGTAATCAGAGGTCATCTCCATGGTAACTGGTCAACAAGTCCGTTAAACGTTTCCAATTCTATTTTACAATACCACAAGCTTACTGGAGACCTTATACATGGAAGACTGGGTACAGGAAGTGGTTGTAATAACCCACATGGAAGCCCACAAGGAACCTTGGAAACCGTGCAAACTGTACAAGCGTCCACATAGTCTTTGATGCCTTTCCTGAGCGAAGGTCACCAGAGCGATCTCGAGACAGCGGATATAGTTTTATTAATACCCGGATTTCTAGCAGTCACATTGTCGTGGAATACCTTTAGTACCTCCTTTCTTTCTAACAAGGGAATAAACAATCTTGAGGTTTATCACAAGGTTCCCTAGGACTGAGCTGCCATGATAGTACAAAGAAGAGGGGAAGACAAGGAAAGGACAGTGGCTGCAATGATACATTCAGGTGGAACAATAGGGGATGTCTCCTGTTCTTGTTCTGATTCAATGTCAAATAACCAAGATAAGGCATCAGCTTTAACATCCTTGGGACCTGGTCTGTAAGTGATGATACCTCCTTTCTTTCTAACAAGGGAATAAACAATCTTGAGGTTTATCACAAGGTTCCCTAGGACTGAGCTGCCATGATAGTACAAAGAAGAGGGGAAGACAAGGAAAGGACAGTGGCTGCAATGATACATTCAGGTGGAACAATAGGGGATGTCTCCTGTTCTTGTTCTGATTCAATGTCAAATAACCAAGATAAGGCATCAGCTTTAACATCCTTGGGACCTGGTCTGTAAGTGATGATAAAGTTAAAGCGAGATTAGAACAAAGACCATCTAGCTTGTCTAGAAGACAGTCGTTTAGCATCACCAATATATGCCAAGTTTTTGTGATCCGTAATGATCAAAAGGGGGTCCTTGGAACCCTCCAAAAGATGTCGCCATTCCTTTAGCGCTAGTATAAAGGCCAACAATTCTCTGTTACCGATATCATAGTTACGCTCTGTTGGAGACCACTTTCTAGAGAAGTACCCACAGGGATGCAAAGGGGTTTCCTGACTCTCGCTTTGAGAAAGAACAACCCCTATCCCTGTTTCGGAGGCATCAACCTCCAGTATGAAGGATTTGCTAGTGTCAGGATGTACCAATATGTCAGCAGAGGCAAACAATTCCTTAAGAAGCTCAAAAGCCTCCCTAGCTTTTTTAGATCATATAGTACAGTTAGCCCTCTTGCGTTTCATATTGGTGATGGAGGCTATCACAGAAGAAAATCCTTTGATGAATCTCCTATAGTAGTTAGCAAACCCAATAAACCTTTGAATGGCTTTTAACCCATTAGGTAATAGACAGTGTAGAACGGCTTCTAGTTTGCGAGGGTCCATTTGGAAACCAGAGGCTGAAATATTATATTCCAAAAACTGAACCTCTGTTTGGTCAAATATGCACTTTTCAAGTTTGCAAACTTTGCTTGAAAATGAACTTTATTGCAACACTTGTTGGACATGTTTATGATGAGTCTTGAAGTCAGGGGAATAAATAACGATATCCTCTAAATATACTAATACAATGGTATATATATGTAGTCTCTGAGAACATCATTGATAAAATCTTGAAATACAGCCGGGCATTGCATAAGCCGAAGGGCATGACAAGATACTCATAGTGACCACTTCTAGTGTTAAATGCAGTTTTCCATTCATGACCCTCCTTAATCCTTACCAAATTGTAAGCACTCCTGAGGTCGAGTTTGGTAATGTCACGTATTTATTCGCAC